TTTTTTCTTTTTTTTTTCTTTTTATGCGGCGTCCCAAATCCAATAAACGAAAACGAAGGAGACCGAGAGAGAAGGAAGATTGAAAACAGAAAACAATCCCGTGGTAATCTTTTATCTTGCAAAACAAAACTGCGGCCGAATATCGTCTAGGAGGAAGAAGAGGAGGAGGAGGAGGGGGAAGGAGGAGGAGGAGGAGGAGGAGGGAGGAAAATTAATTTGTTCAGGGATCAAGTCGGATTTTTTTTTATCATTATTATTATTATTATTATTATTATTATTATTATTATTATTATTATTATTATTATTATTATTATTATTATTATTATTATTATTATTATTATTATTATTATTATTATTATTATTATTATTATTATTATTATTATTATTATTATTATTATTATTATTATTATTATTATTATTATTATTATTATTATTATTATTATTATTATTATTATTATTATTATTATTATTATTATTATTATTATTATTATTATTATTATTATTATTATTATTATTATTATTATTATTATTATTATTATTATTATTATTATTATTATTATTATTATTATTATTATTATTATTATTATTATTATTATTATTATTATTATTATTATTATTATTATTATTATTATTATTATTATTATTATTATTATTATTATTATTATTATTATTATTATTTTTATCATTATTATTATTATTATTATTATTATTATTATTATTATTATCATTATTATTATCAGTGTGTGTGTGGTGTGTGTGTGTGTGTGTGTGTGTGTGTGTGTGTGTGTGTGTGTGTGTGTGTGTGTGTGTGTGTGTGTGTGTGGCCCGAATGTTTCTGTTCCCACGACCTGTGCGCTGCCACACGGTTCCCTGCCACGCCCTCACTCCCCCCGTTTCTGTGGCGCTGCGTGGTGCTCTGTGGTGCCTACGTGTTTGTATTGTGTCAGTGGTCGTTATGTATGTATGTTTTTTTATCTTTTTCTTTCTTTACTTATTTTTGCTTTCTTTGTTTGTTTTTTCGTTTTTTTTTTGTTTTTTGTTTTCCAATGTCTCTCTTCAATGACAGAGAGATACACGATACATGGTATTATATGTATGTTTTTTATCTTTTTATTTTTCTTTCTTTATTTGTTTTATATTTTTGTGTGTTCTAATGTCTCTCTTTTTCTCAGTTAGGTTTTTTCTGTTTCTCTTTCCTTTCCCCTCTTCTACTTTACTCTCGCCTTCATTCTCTCTTCACCTTTTTCTCTATTCTGCTTCTTCATATCGTTCTATATTCCTATCCACCTTTTTCTTTCTCTCTCTCCATTCCTTCCTTCCTCTTTAATAATTCCTCCTCCTTCCTCTCACATTCCTTCACTAACTTCCTCTCTCTTCTTATTCCTTATTCTTCATTTTTCTCATCTTCCTTTTCCCTCTCTTTACATTTTTCTCCTCTCCATCGATCCATACCTCAACGCAAAGACACAAACAAAGACATAAAAGGCAAACAAAGACAGATAGCATATACAAAAAAGACAATGATAATAAATGTAAAAAACAAACAAATAAATTGAAAAAACAAGGACAACAATTGTGAAAACGGACAAAGACAATAATTGTGTGGGGGGTAGGGAGGGAGGCAAAGACAACAAATACAAATAAAGAAAATATAAACGCCCTTATTTATCCATACATCGGTACAACAACAACAAAAAAACAAGTAATCAAATGAGAAAAACAACAACAACAACAAAGACAAAAAAACGAATAATCAATGAGATTTCCGTACCTTCATTTTTTTTTAATTAACTCGTCGAAAAATAGTCTTGTGCAGAATATTAATGAGAAAAAAAAAATTGTTGCTGAAATGTTGTATATCATTTTAGATCGAATTTATCTATTTATTTTAGGTATATGTCTATTCACTTATTACTTTCATTATTATTTTGTTATTATCGTTATCTTTATGAATATTATTATAGTCATTATAATTTTATTATAGTTTATTATAATTCTACTAATAATTTATGAAAGTCATTATTATAATCGTTATAATGTGTATTATAGTCATCGTTACTGCTATTATTATCATTACAAGTACTTCTATGATTATCAGAATTATTATCAATACTATTTTCATTAAAATCAGTTATTATCATAGTCATTTTACTATCAAAACTATTATTATTATTATTATAATAATTATTATTATCAGTATCAATACTATCATCATTATCATTATTATCATCTCATTCATTATCATTATCATCGTCATTCCCATATTTATTCAATATTTCTTTGTTTACTATTATTTTCCCTTCACAGAGCGATAAAACCAATAATGTTATAGTGAAATGATGACCTCCTTGTTCTAATGATCTCAAAAAAAAAAAAAAAAAAAAAAAAAAAAAAAAAAAAAAAAAAAAAAAAAAAAAAGGTCGGTAAACAATGAATGACTTATTTGGATGGATGAACAATGACACTGCGATTTCTAAAAAAAAAAAACAAAGGGAGAAAG